GCTAGGATTATAGGCATCAGCCACCGCGCCCGGCCTATGTATAATTTTTAAAAGCCAACATAAAGTTCTGAAATGTAAAGGAGAAATTAAAGTAACTTATAATAAGATTTCAATGTGTGGTAATTGGGTGTTTAAACCTCTACTTAGAAATGAGTGCCACAGGTGTGTTGTATTGTCAGACACCCCAACCAAAACATTTACCATTCCTGATAGGATTTTCTGAAATGGTGCACAATTCTTGGCAATGTTCTGTGCAAAACAGTACAGTTGTCCCTCAATTTACAAGGTAATTGTACTGTATCTGAAAACCATGTGGATAGTTTGTGTTTATGGAGTGACATAGTTTGGCTCAAGACTCAGATAACATGAACAGATAATTTTTTTTACCCACACGAATGTCAGGATGTTCAAGAGTCATACAGAATGTGGGACAATTCATGTGTCAGATAGTCTCAAGCAAAGAAGGATGTCTGACTTTACTGATTCCTGCCCACAGAAGTCTATTAGCATTACCCCATCAGGCTAACCAGTTAAAAAAAAAAAAAAAAAAAAGGTACGCCCCTAGGGGGCAGGCTGGTCTGGCGTCCTCAGGAAAGTCTTCAACGCCAGAGGACAGTAAGTAGAAGTGTAGATACAGCTTCTGACTGTAGAGGCCAGTGTCAGCAGAAGGCTAGGAACATTGCTTCATGTGACCTATCATTATGTCCTGTGAGTACAAAGGACTCGAGGACGCTGCAGCCTGGCCCAGTGGGGGCTGGCCCTAATAGGCTTTTTTTCCCCCCCAGAAACGGGCCCAGGATGCTTTGGTCATCCTGGGGGGTGGCGGACTTCTCTTTGCTTCCTACCTGACAGCCACGGGGGATGAGCATTTCTACGCTGACCACTTGATGCCAGCTCTGCAGAGGCTGCTGGACCCAGAGTCAGCCCACAGACTGGCCGTTCAGTTTACCTCCCTGGGACTCCTTCCCCGAACCTCATTTCAGGACTCTGACATGCTGGTAGGTACTCTTTGGAACACTCTATGGATTAAGTGCAAGGGTGAAGCTGGGAGTGATATTTCTCAGCTGGGACTCATCCTTTTTACCACCAGAGCCTCAAGTTAGCAGTGGGAATTAGAGTTCAATCTGAGCAATATTTGTTATATGTAACATATTACAAAATTAAATAACAAGGATTATTACATATTACTTACAGGACTTATGTTAGGCAGTGCTCTCTACTCTTGTAGCGTCTTTCTCACCTCCTGCTTCCAGGATCAGATGGCGTTCACCCCGGGAGCCCTTTACTGCTCCTCTTAAAGGTTGCCAGAGCCCAGCAATCCGCTCTGCCCCGCGAAGCACCTCCTCCCTCTGGCTCCCAGGAGCGTCTGTGTGATGTTGTTGGGGCTGCTTATGAGCCTGGCTGAGGGGGGCACAGCTGAAGCTGGTTTTCATTAAGCTGATTAAAGGGTTCTGTTGTTTGACACTGCTGGTTTCAGAGTAGCACTGTCAAGGGCCCGATGCCAGTGAGCTACTCTCCCACCAAGGACAGTGGACGAGAAGGTACGAATCGTAATGATAGCTGGAAAAGACAGTGCCCGTCTCCTGCTCAACCCATGGTAGAAACACAGTTTTTCTCCGCAGGCTCGATGATAATAGAGCCTCGAGGTTTTCAAACTCTAGCAGGCATCACAATCACCTGGAGAGCTCTGTTAAAAATAGGTTCTCTCAGCACTCCCTCTCCTGCCTTGGGGGGGGGGGCCGGCAATCCCATGTTTAACAAGCTTCCCAGGTGTTTCTGATGTAGGCGAGCCAGGGAGCACGCTTTGAGAAACACTAGGATGGCCTATTACTTCTGACTTGTGTCGTCCTCTTCCCAGGAAGTGAGAGTTCTGGGCCATAAATTCCGAAATCCAGTAGGAATTGCGGCAGGATTTGACAAACACGGGGAAGCTGTGGATGGACTTTATAAGATGGGCTTTGGATTTGTTGAGATTGGAAGTGTGACTCCAAAACCTCAGGAAGGAAACCCCAGGCCCAGAGTCTTCCGCCTCCCCGAAGACCAAGCCGTCATTAACAGGTAGGCGAGAGACCCAGAGTTAACAGAGGATGCCTCTTTCCAGCTGGGCTCTCGGTTTTTTCTGTCATATGACATGGACATTGTTCTGTCACTTGGAATGTTCAGGAACCCTGTTGAGCATCTACAATGTGCCAGGCATCTGTCCTCACACCAGCCCTGGAAAGCAGGTTTCATTATTTCTGTTGAACAGGTGTACACGGTGAGGCTCAGAGAGCTAAATAACTTAGCTGCAGTCATGGAGATAAAAAGCAGGAGAGCTTGGGTGTGGCTTAGGCTTATTGGACTTCAGAGTTTGTGCTTTGTCCATCTTGTTTCTCCAATGCCCTCGCTCAACTCTGCAAGCCCCGTATGTAATTCAAAATATTTTAGTGACATTAAGAAGTAAAAAGGGCGGGGCACACATCTGGTCACACACTCATGTTTCAGTTGCCAGCAAGGCTGGGAAAGGAGTCATTAGCATCTTCCCCTGTATCAGGGGAGGGGAGTGGCCACTGGTCAGCCACCCACAGCGGGGCTGGGGATACAGGGATTAAAAAGAAAGGCAATGCCCCTGCCTGCGGGGGGTGTCTAGTAGACAGGGTGATAGAGAGGACGTGTCGCTTGCCCTCAAGAAGATTATAACTGAGACAGGAACTTACACATACGCACGTACATATCCTGAGCCAGGAGGAGGACAAGTGCGAAGCCCTCTGTCAATGCCAAGGGGCTGAGGGACCCTGTGCAACTGGGCGCTCTGTGCAGGAGGAGAGGGAGCACTGGATCTGGGCCGGGAAGAGGGGCGATTTCGTAGGCAGAGAGCACGGGGAAGTGGAGCAGCACGGGCTCCAGGAGGACGCTGGTGGAGCCCAGGTGGGAGGCGGAACGCTTCTGTTATCGCAGAGTGGTGAGGCTCGGCTGGGGGGAGCAGTGGCTGCATAAGGATCCAGCAGGGCTGGGGCAGCTACTGCTGACGAGTCTGGGCTGTTGCCAATGCTAGTTGGCTGACCGGCTTGTTTGTGAATTTAATCTTTTCCTTTGTATTAGATGGTGTTCTGGTAAGTTCTCTAGAAGTCCCAGGAAGTTTAAGAACTGACTCTGATTATTTTTCGTTTCTGTTTTTAAAAATCCTAAGTATACAGTGGAAATGGCCACGGAGCTCTCTCCCCACATCCTTTGTCTTCTAACTGTGCCCTCTCCATCCGCTTGTTGCTGCAGATACGGATTTAACAGCCAGGGGCTCTCCGCAGTGGAACACAGGTTACGGGCCAGACAGCAGAAGCAGGCCAAGCTCACAGAAGGTAAAGTGGAGCTGCTTTAGAGGGGCTCTTTTCATTTATTAGGAGGAACCGTGGGGAAACACTGCCAACATTCCTAGCGAAATGAACATGGTTGAGCAATGGAAAAAACCACTACTAAGGAACTCAGGGCTCCTCTCCTAGGGGAATTTTCCTGGTTCTACCCTAACCTCCAAGATTTTAACTCAGTTTCATGATTTAGCAAAGACTCACTTTGTTTCTGCGTCGTTATGTAGCCTGTGTTATATCATAACTAGGTAAGGCTAGAAGTAAGCAAAGGATAGTGGCTTGACTGTGATCTTGTGGGTGGTCAGGGTGTGAACAGGACATCTTCCTATGTTCCACTCTGTTGTCCTTTTGTTCGTTGTGTACATAATGTATACTAGTTATAGAAGAGTTAGTAAATACAGAGAAGCATAAAGAAGAAAAAGTAACTCACACCCCTCCCCACTCAGGGACAACTAGTATTAGCATTTGGGAAAATATTCTTCATGACTTATTTTGGAAACAAGAAGCATTTTCGAAGGCTGCCTTTGAAATGCAGATGTTTACTCTCTGGCTCTCTGCTTTGCTGTCTCTCAGGACGCACTTAGTGCTCGTAGCCTGTGGTGTCCTCTGGGATCGTGCAGGGCTGTGGCTCAGTAGGGATCATTTTCTTCTTTGGGTCCCTCTGAAACTCCTTCCAGGAGGTTGAAATCTCATTAGATGTCCTGGTAGCACGATGAGGAAACCCATGGATATCAGATTCATTCCAGGAAGTGAGGTGGAAAGGTCTGGGGCATTAGGCAGTGTCAGATTTGGAGAGCAGGAATGGCCTCGTTTGGGAACAGCTGACTTTGTTATCCTGTAGACCTGCCCACTTGGGGAACTGGGAAGGTCATGGTAGGGTGTCACTGTTTGTGATGCTCTCCTACCTACTCACCTTCCTTTTCTTCTTTTAATTGCCCACGGTGCTCTGTGCACCGGCCTTACCCTTGTTCTCCTGTGCCCACCCTTACTCCCAGGCTGGCCCTCACACTCACTGGAGTGCAAAGCCCATGGCAGTGCTCTGCACAGATGTGCCTGCCAGCAGCTGGGATCCTTGAAAACAGCTTCTTGCTAGCACCATGCAAAGGGACATGAGTTGACAAAGCTGTGGTGTCCTCTAGGGACACAGCTACTCAGCAATTTCTAACTCTAAAATCTTGTCAGTTTGGGCAGTTGACTACTAATGAAAGATTCATTAGCTACATAAAAGTGATACTCTCTTTCAAGCCAATTTACCTATGTGGAAAAGAATTCAAGCTTACAAATGATCTCGGCTTGATGGTTGCTAAACTTGGGAAGCTTGGAGACCTTGTGTTCTAACTGTTGTCTGCTTGGGTTCTAATCCTCTCCCTTGGCCCCCTCCCAGGAGGTTAGCTACACAAATCTTGTTTACTTTCAAGCTGGTGATAAGAAAGTGTGATCTGGAGTGTGAGAAGGTGATTAGCAGTACTAGATATTGTTCTTCCATCCTCTCTGGCCTGACACATGTCTTGTGAGCTAACTTGGTGTTCTAGGTCTTTTCCCAACCGTCAGATGGAAAAAGCAGCCTATACCATTGATGTACCACTGACTTTTGCAGATAGGAGAGTATCTTAGGAGAAGTCAAGTACAGACAAACCCTTTCTTTCACGCACGGCCTATTTCTGAAAATGCATTTTCCTGGAGGTCCAAAATACAAGTCAAGTGATAGTCCTGTGGATTTTTAAGCAAGGTGACCATATTACTTACGTGTGAACTGAGATGCTTGTGAGAGTGAAAGGAGGTAGGCGGTAATAATTACGCCCAGGCTACAGGAGTGCGCAGGGCTCTCCCGGGAGTGCTGAGATACATGGTCACCCCAGTTATAAGGGGAAATTCCTTTTCTCAGAACCAAAATTATAAAACAATTATACCTCTGCATTTTAGGCCTGATAATTAAATTTTTTCCAGTATTTTATACATATTCTTTAATTTTGTTTTTTCTTCACAATTACACATTGCTTGTTGGAGCATCTCTTAAGATTAAAGTTGCCCCACATGTATTGATTTCTGCTCCTCTGAGTTTTACTAAATTTATAGGCCTACCTTTGGATCACTGGTATTTGCACTCCTAATTTCTCCATTTTCCATTACATTTTTAAAAATAAAAAAGGCAAAATGCAGTGGAACATCCTTGGAGCTGCCCAGAATTGCCATACAGAGCGGCGGTGTTCTTTGGGGAGCAGGCGGGGGCGCGGGGAGGCTCCGGCTCGGAGGGGGAGGCCTACAAGGCCGTTCGCGGGCTGTCTGGTCAAGGATGGCGTCGCATGTTGCCCAGGAAGTGGTGTGTGGGTCACAATCCTAACCAGCGATATTTACAGATGGGCTGCCCCTGGGAATAAACCTGGGGAAGAATAAGACGTCGGCGGATGCGGCCGCGGACTACGCAGAGGGCGTCCGGGTGCTGGGCCCCCTGGCCGACTACCTGGTGGTGAACGTGTCCAGCCCCAACACGGCCGGGCTGCGGTGCCTTCAGGGCAAGGCCGAGCTGCGCTGCCTGCTGACCAAGGTGGGCGGTTACACCTCCTCTCCCGTCTGCCTGCTCCCTTTCACTCTCCAGGGGAACCTTCAGCGTCACCCTGCGGAAGCTGTCCTTGACACCTGGACCGGTCCGGCCCCCTCACCACGCCCTCCTGAAGCCCCCTCTGACCTTCCACCACAACACTGATCGTGTGCAATAGTTATCAGTTGTTCAGTTGTCTGTCCCTGCTGTTAAACCGTAAGGCCCATGACAGCAGGGACCATGTCTCTCTCATTTATCGCTCTCTTCCTAGTTCCCAGCACAGTGAATGAACTGAATGACTACCCACCACCTGTACTCGGCGCAGTATTTCTTGGTTATCTTTTAGGAACTAAAGTCTAAAAAACCCTAAAAAAATAACCCAAGCCAAGGGGGTTTCCCTGGGTCAAAAAAATTGATCAAATCCATCTTGACGGGGACCCTCATGTAACTGAGGGCTGGGTGTCCTAAAAGGGAAAAATTGCTCATGCTTAAGTTTGATAACTTGTGTGAAAACCCACTGACCTGCAGCTGCAGGTCCCAGGTGCACTGTCGGGCTGTGGTGTGGGGGTGCCCATCTCTGGCCATTTGTCACCCCAGGTGCTGCAGGAGAGGGAGGCCTTGCAGGGAGCACGTAAGCCGGCAGTGTTGGTGAAGATCGCCCCTGACCTCACGGCCCAGGACAAGGAGGACATTGCTGGCGTGGTGAGAGAGGTTAGAGTCGGGGCCTGGGCTGGGGGCACCTCTCACTGTCTGTTGAGGCCGTCTGGCCAGCTGGGATAGCCCAGAATGGCAGCCTTTGTGATTTCCTCTCTGTGACACCGAAGGCTGGTTTGGTATCTGTCACAGTGTCATTCATCCTATAGTAAAAAGTGAATGTTTGAATAAATATCTGAATGAGTCTTTTTCTCATGCCTCTTCCTTCCTCTCTTTCCTCATCTTCATCCAGCGAGGGCTTTAACGCTGGTGCTTGTATCCTTGGCCAGTCTCAGTTGGGACCGGCGTATTCTCTGTCTCATCTCTGCAACCTTTCTGCATACCAGGTCTCTATGGCTAGGACAGTGGCAGCAACACAGACTGAGCCCAGCAGTCATAGGCAAAAATCTTGGTTCCACCACTTCCTAACTGGGGCCTCAGACAAGACACTATATTATTTATTTGTTTATTGAGACAGGGTCTTGCTCTGCTGCCTGGGCTGGAGTGTAGTGGCATCATCATAGCTCACTGCAGCCTCAGCCTCCTGGGCTGAAGCAATCCTCCTGCCTCAGCCTCCCAAGTAGCTGGGACTACAGGCATGCGCCACTGGCAAGACCCTATAAAGTGGGTTGTTCCAAGGATTAAACTCTGTCCTAGAGGAAGGTTATGGGTGGTCAGTATGTGATGGCTGCTATTGTCACATTGTGGCTCATTCAGATACTTGTTCAAGAAAAGGATAGTGAGGTCTGTGGCAGCTCTTGCCTCTGGGGGCCATAGGTATGGGCACCTGGCCTGGCTGCTGTCTCAGACCTCCAAAGAAGCTTCTCTGAGTCAGTCCTTCAGTGCCAGAGCTCAAGGGCTTTTCTCTGTCTCACACTGCAGTTGGGCGTTGATGGATTGATTGTCACGAACACCACAGTGAGCCGCCCCACCAGCCTTCAGGGTACCCTGTGCTCTGAAATGGGAGGGCTGAGCGGGAAGCCCCTCCGGGATTTATCAACTCAAACCATTCGGGAGATGTACGCACTCACCCAAGGCAAGGATTCGGTGTCTTCAGATCTGTGTGTGGCCTGGGTTCCTGGGTCGTGACTGGAATCATTGTTCCCTAATCTGCTGTGTTGGAGGGGGGCTGTAGGGCTGAAGCCAAACCAGGGTCCTGGTTCTTGCACCCGACCTGACCGTGTAGCCATGTCCTTCTCTGCAGGCAGAGTTCCCATAATTGGAGTCGGCGGGGTCAGCAGCGGGCAGGACGCGCTGGAGAAGATCCGGGCGGGGGCCTCCCTGGTGCAGCTGTACACAGCGCTCACCTTCCAGGGGCCGCCCGTGGTGGGCAGAGTCAAGCGGGAGCTGGAGGCCCTTTTGAAGTGAGTGGGCCGCGTGTGGCTGAAACGGGAGCTAGTCAGGAGACGTTAATTCCACCCGCTCCGGTCATGGGGATGCTCTTCATCTATTGATTGCTCATTCAGAAAGGATTTGAGGGGTACACTCTGAACATGGGGAAAATCACTCTGTGCTGCTCCTCTGACGGAGGACAAACAGTGCCAAGGGGACTTGGGTTGACCCCACAGCAGTGGTGTTTCCAAGGCAGAGTCCATTTGTCTGAGGGAGAGGAGCTTGGGGACCCCTGGCAGCATTCCCTAATTAAGTAACATTTGCTCACTGTCAGGGAGCTGTCTACTTAAAATCGATTCCCTTCCTGCTTGGAAGAGCTGGGTAGAAATGTCTCTGGTTCCCTGGGGAAGACCGTGTCGAGGGCATCCCTGGGTGGGATGGTGCGTTTGTGGGTGAACGTGGGCTTCCTGTAAGAGCAGGGCTCGTTCTTTACTGTTTGCTGAAATTGCTTTTTTTTTGCTCCTTTTCCAGAGAGCAGGGTTTTGGCAGAGTCACAGATGCCATTGGAGCAGATCATCGGAAGGAGGGCATTGTCTGTCAGGAAGCCTGATCTGGAACCTGCCCACAAACTCAGGCGAGCCTTTGTGGCTGCATTGTGAGAGGAGAGACTCTGTCTCAAGCCGTGTGTCCCGCATGGTGGCCTGGTCTGGCCTCACCGTAAAAGCCAATCGTGGGGTCACCAGAATCAAGAGAAGGCTGTCTTCAGTCCCTTGGTCAGACCATAAACTGCGTTTGTGATGCTTTCTAGGTTCAAATCCTAGGATCCTTCAGTACTGCAAGGACATTGGATATTTGG